TCTCATTCGGTTTGAGCAGCTCATAATAAATTACACCCTGCTGATCCCACCAAATACAGAGAAGCTTCGAACCATGGATATTTGGTTTTGCGGACGATGTTGATGCATGGCCAGGCTTACCCCATGATTTTCTACGCTTTGGATTATCATAGTGTATCCATTTTTCATCGCCAGTCACGATACGGTGCAAAAAACCTTTTCTTTTCTGCCGTTTAAGCAGTAGTTCACACGTGACAAAACGCCGTACGATGTCTCTTGGCTTCAATTCATATGGCACCCAATGTCCTTGCTTCTGGATCATTTCTAACATTTTTAAACGTTTTGAAACAGTTGATTCATCAACTTTTAATGTTTTTCCAAGTTCTGCTAGCGTCTGAGATCGGTCTTCATCGAGTAATTCCTCCAATGCTCTGTCTTGAAATTTTTTTGGTGCTCTTTATCCTCAAGTTTAAAATCATTATTTTTGAAGCGTCGAAACCAGTCTCTGCATGTCGTATTCGACAGAGCATTGTCACTATAACTCTCAACAAGAATTCTATGTACTTCAGCTGCCTATTTCTTTTGAATAAAGTAGTCCAATAAAATTCCTCGCAAATACACTTTAGTTGGCACAAAAGTAGACATTTTCAATACTAATAAAAAATTACTTTGTTTACACTAAAGTGAACTATCATATACTGAAATTTCAGGTTAGATACAGTACTTCCTTGCAAGTGCGTTACCATTCGAAATTTCAAGCATGGAGTATTGCTATTGCCATCTTTGATGAAACAGCGAGAACTTATTCTAGGTCCTAATAAAAAAAAGAACAAAAATAAATAATTAGGTTATTATTAAAAGAGACAAAAAAAAGTATGCAATGACTTGAATAAAAATTAAAGGTAAAAAAACATTATTTATTAATTAATTAGAAAAAAACGAAATAAATGATTAAAAATAAAATAGATTACACGAGGAAATTCTCTATAAATAAATAAAAATAATGCACGTGTATATACATATATATTTGTATGCTTACTTACGTAGTTTTTGTAAAATGTAACAAATACGAAAGGATTCTTTACTCGCGTGTAATTGAAATACTGTGTCGGTGTAATTACTTTATGGTTGCTCATTAGAGGGTTCATTTAATTGTACATTTATGAGAGCACTGGGACGTTCGTATGACATAGTTAATTGCGTCTAAGTTTCTCTCTCTCTCTCTCTCTTTCTCTCTTTCATTCTTTCTTATTTCTCCCTGAAATAACTCATATGTGTTTACATCCCCGGTATTACGCCTCTCACAATAAAAGATAACGATATGTTTGCCTTCGAGCCTGATTCGTTTCCGCGATTAGATCAACCATTTATGTATATATGTATATGTGTATATATGTCATATTTATGTATAATATAATCGTATGTAGGTTTATATACTACGTCTTATGACTCGAATGAGATTATGTATACATATAATTTGAACATGAAAATAATATATTCTAAATAAGGTCTCTGGGTAAAATAAATGTATCCACATTTCATCTTCCATGCAAAATTATTTTACATATTATCTGGTATATAAATTATATAGATATCAAATAATATTATTTTTTGTCCTCGTCTAATAATCTATTACGAGACACGTTCACATATGTAATGACCTACTTTGAAGAGTTTACGGTTTTTTATTTAAATTTAACAGAAACGAGTAAGTTACTAGAGAAAATTTGTTTAGTACTCTACGTCATTTGTTTTCATTGTCATATAATTATTTTATTAATCGGAAAAATATGTAATAAATTATCTTTTATTGTCGAGATTACAAACATTTTCTATTAGAGTGTTTTTTATCAGTTGTTTAATAACAAAATAGGGATAATGATATAAGGAAATTAATGGTGAACGGTGAAAGTTGCAAAATACAAAAAAGGTGACAACGTACCCCATGCTCATACTCCTTCATTTTCATTACAATTAATAAATATGGGGGAGGGAGACAATAAAAGAAAGAAAAAACGGATGGTAGTTTTCGTTAAGTAAACCAAAATAAAAATGTTAACGAACCTCTTTATCGTAATCCTTCAATTTTCATCTTAAACAATCAACATTTTTCTTTCGATCCGACTAATAAAAAAAAAATTCTACTAATTGCGAGTAAAACATACTCTATTTTACACTTTGTATGTTCTTTTTTTGTTTTAAATAAACGCTTTAAAATAAGAAAAGGTATGGAACGAAAAAAGAAGAAAATAACTGACGAAGAGGAAGGAAGATCGTAAAATAAAATGATAAAATAAAAAAAAGAAATATGTCGCGTGTGTCGGAATATGCGTAGATCCTCATTGTTTCTTTACAGACCAAACGGATTCCTTTGGGCGAGCAAAAGCAGTTCGGTAATTTCCCTGTAGGATGCGAAGGATGCCGTTAGGCGAGTGCGAAGAAGCGGAATCTCGTAGGAAACGTTTTGTGAACAGCGACAGTGTAGTTTTTCTCTCTCTTTTTCTCTTTCTTTGTTTCTTTCTCTTTTGAGTAGGATGATACTAGAAAGAAAACAACGACGACGACGACAACGACAACGACAACAACAACGACAACGACGAGGACGAGGACGTACCGGTGGCGTCAGTAGCCTGAAGAGAAGACAATGGCCCTTTTCCCTTCCTCCTAGGCATTTCATTCTCTCTCTCTCTCTCTCTCTCTCTCTCTGTTTCTTTCTAACTCTCTCTTTCTCTCTCTTTCTATCCACCATCTGTTTCTACTCGCACTCTTCTTAACTTTCTGCTCTAATGCCCTATACCGATAGGATCGAGAACATTCAAAACGAATTCCTAGTGATTTTCTTTTAATACTGCATATATTATAAATAATTTGTACGTTTCTATTTATATCTTTTAATCGGTCAATGGTAAATTGGTTCCGTAATACTTTAAATTGAATGTTTGAAAGAAAAAACAAAATACAAAAGAAAACATGCAGATAACAATCTAATTTATGATAATGGAAGATTGCCATTAAAAAATAATGGTTTTTATTTTTTAATCAGTCATTCAATCACAGATTTGAAAAATTGAATACAGTTATATTAGATTATATTTATGTGATATTTGTTTAAATAATAAATATATAATTGCCAGTGAAGAATTGTAATTTTCTTGTTTAAATTACAATTATAAATAATAAAATAGTAAAAACAAGAAAATTACAAAAACAAAAAGAAAAAAGTCATACTTGATTTCTGAATTTTGTATATTTAAAAATTCGAATGAAAATATTATTAATAAAGGAAAACAATAATAAAAAAAGATAAATGAAAGATAATATATATATATATATATATATATATATATATATATATATATATATATAAAATAATAAGTAATATTTTAAGATGGGGCAGCATCCGGCTGCCAATAAAGGAAGAAAAGAAAATAGAGGAAGAATATATCGGTCTGTTGTATTCCGGTGTAGGAAGGATTGCGATTGGTCAAGGTAAGTAAGCTTTATGTTCCTGCGATTGGTCCTTTGAACGTTTCCCCACTTCCCTTCTTCACCAAGCGGGAAATTCACTTTTTACCGTGGTTATTACAAAACCAAGTGGAGACTCCTAGAGCATGTCATTACGACGCAGTGCTCCACTCGGTGAGCATCCTCTTGCGGACTTCTACTTTTACCCATCACCACCACCACCACCATCACCATCACCATCACCACCTTCACCATCATCTCACCATCCTCTTCATATTTTCTTCTTGTTCTTGTTCGTTATAGTGTTCGTCACAGTCACCTCTTTTGCTTTCCTCTATCTCCACCACCCTTTCTACCACCACCCCACCTTTCTACATCCACCTCCACCTCCTCCTCCACTTCGCTACTCATTTCTTCCCACCTTTCGCGAACGCCGTGGAAGACGAGCAGCTACGAGCACGAATATCTTAGAGCAGCAGAGAGTGTTTCACGACGATCGGGGAATGTGCACACTCGATCGTTGTTGCTCTACTTTTCAACAACTTTTATAATCTAACTAAAAAGATTATATCTAACGTTACTATTATCCTAACATCGATTATTTAAATTATTCCTTATCATCGAGCTTTGAGGAAGAATATATTTAGAGAGAGAGAGAGAGTTAAAAAATAAAATCAGAAAAATAAGAAGAAGTACAAGAAGAAGAACAACAACAACAACAAAATAAGGATAACGAAGAATACTTTGATGTACTTATACGTGATAGAAGAAGAAGAAAAAGATAGAATATAACAACCAAAAAAAAAGAAATAAAAAATATATAAACGTTCTATTTTACCGTACTATCATCATCACCATCACCGACAACTATAATACTACTTCAAAACTTCCGGATCCCTCCGATACGCGCTAGTGGACGAAAAGAAGAAAACTAACATAAGTAGAAGAACAGTCGGAACAGCAGTTGAACAGCACTATACTATCACACGTATATACAAAGTAGTATATACTAGTATTTGAATACAAAGTAAGATACTAGTATTTTAATACAATTAGTATACTAGTATTATATAATAAAAGTAGTAATAGTAAAAGTATAGTAGTAGTACTAGTAATAATAATAGTATTAGTAGTCGTAATAGTAACAGTAGTAGTATAACGCAATCGTTCGACTGCAAGGAAAAGTGATGTGCGGAAACGCATAAGATTCTCAAGTAATATTTTTATATATACGTACATTTACATAAACACACATATACACGTATACGTATATACATAACACGTTGAATACACGGAGTATATACTTAAATAGTATATACCTTTCGTTTTTTCTACATCGAAGAAGTGTTTTGTGATTCGTGAACGAACAACCAAGAAAAAAGAGAGTAGAAGAAAAAAAAGAGGGAAAGACAAAAAGAAGGAACAAAACGTGTTACATCGAGAACAGAAAGAAGAGATCATCTTTTCTTTACCGATCAACAAGAGAAAAGAAGAAAGAATAAGAAAGAGAGAGAGAGAGAGAGAGAGAGAGAGAGAAAGGAAGAGAGATTGGAAGAAGAAGAAGAAGCAGGATGATCATCGCTGGAATTAAGATGGACTGGACGATCAGATTGTAAGTGAATAACTATTTCTTATTGATTTTCTATTTTAATTTGATACTATTATTATAATAATTTAAGTTTATAAGCGTGTATAATGATTAACAAGTTCTATAGATTTTATTGTAATAATATTAAGTGTCAGAAGAATTGCATCATTCTCTTATATGCAACTTTTAGGTAGATTCTTATTTTTTCTTTCGTTGTATAGGAAATTTGATAAATGGATTTATGATTTTTGTTGTTCCAATTTAATATTATTGGAGTAAATATAATTATTTTCTTTTCTATATAATCTTTTCGAGAAATGGATTGTAATATCAGAAATTTTTTATGATAATTTGAAATTTATGATGAATACGTAATCTTTATTCTTATTTTTATTTTTTAATGAAACGTACAAAACGAATGATTTCTTTTTTTGTTTACTATCTTTCTAAATTGTAAATATTATTTTTATTATTTTTTCTTTTTTTGGTTAAAATAAATTATTGCAGCACCCATAATCGTGTTTTTGAATTAATATGAAAAAATACGTAATATCTATTCTTATTATATTTCGAGATATTGTTTTTTTTTTTTTGTAAAAAATATAATAACGTGGGTGAACTATAATAATAATCATCTTACTTAATAATCGTTTAGATAAATCGATCGATCAGAGAGGAGAGATTGGAAAGATACTCTGGAATTTATCAAAAATACGTAATCTCCATTAGAAGCAAATGCACCTAACCATGAAACTCGTGTATCTCGTTAATCTATTATCTGGTTAAAGAGAGCTATTCGATCTTCCCTTCATTCGAAGACTACGTTTATACACAGGTAGTTATATTGACTATGTATGTATGTATGTTATACGGATTACATGGAAAATGATTTTAATCCTTTTCTTTTGGTAAAGATAAGAATCATATCGAGTTGATAGGATCTTCCTGTTAGAAACTCGTACGAGGGAAGTTGTATGTTTTATCTTGACTTGGCAAAATTTTCACTTCTTCTTATTTCATTTCATTCATCCTCTCACTTACTTTTTATTTTTTTTTTTATTTCTATACCAGATATATCCATTACTATAAATAATTATAAAATCAATCTCTGATATTTTAACAATTTTTCATAATATAAAAAACAAATCTTATGTGCCTGTGTTATTTAAGTTATTTCTATACTTCTTTAAATGAAATTAATTTTTTGTCAAATAATTTTATCGTTTCATTTAATATATTACATTTATTATCGCAATACATTTCATTAATTCTTTCCTAATTTCAATTATATATTTTTGTAATAAACTTACAGAAAAAAACAACTGAAATATTTTCCTTGTTAATAATTTCAATAATTCATATAACATTATTATTAATCATAAATTAATGATTCATTCATCATTACATTTATAATTTTCGTGTTCTTATACTTTAATCATATTTTTTTGAACAATTTCATAATCCTATTTACGATAGTAACTTTTTAAAAAAATAAGAATAGAATGAAATAGTGGCAATAATTCTGTCAATCACTTTTTTGTTTATTTTTTTTTTTTTTAATAATAATTTTCTAATTCCTCGAAACGAAACTTGGTGTACCGTTCGAATAGAGGAAAAATAAATACTGGCAAGTTTGTTCCTCATCGTGTTGGACGTTAGATCCGAAGAAAAGGACAATCGTTACCGCATACCTGCCTACCTGGCATCGGCAACGGGCCGATGATGCCGTTACGATAGATTTCTCTCATCTGTTCATAGAGTTACCTTTCCGAAGCTTGCAGTCTTTCCTTCATCAGGCATCGATTACGCGAAACTATAAGAAGGTTTGTGCTAGCGAGGGCGTTGCCAATCCCAGATTATTCGCGTACTTGTGTTATTATTATAGCTGGATGTATTATTGCCTCTTGTTGGAACGTTAACTAACGAGAGAGAAAAAGAGAGAGAGAGAGAGAGATAAAACATACAAAAACGATCAAGAATGTATACAAAAAAAATTACATATATAAAGAAGAAAAAAGAAAAAAATATTATGGAAAGAGGAGAGAAAGAGAAATCACGCGTAGGCGTGATGAACGTTTTTACGAGATTAATCTTTAAGTATAATCATTTTAATTTCTGATCTTACTTCGTATCTATCTTTTTATCTTCTTCTTTTATATTATTATATATTATATTATATGTAATTTTTTGCATATTAAAATTAATTTTATCTCTTACGACTATCTTGGAATTATTATTATTATATATGTATAGGTATATATATTCTTTTTTTTCCTCGTTAAAGTACGTTTAGAGTGAATCTTCTTTGTGTATTAAGATTAATTTTCATCTTGATGACTATCTTTATTTATTTGTATTTATTTTTATTGTTTTTTTTTTATTTATTTTCTACTTATGATAAAATGGGTACATTGAAGATTTCTAATTATCGAAATTTATTCTTAGAAAAGAATGTTTACTAAAGATCGAATTGAATGGAAAATTCTTTGATAAATATCTCGATTATTTTTATACATCTATACGAATAAAATATTTAATTGCATTCACATGTGATAGTATTTAAATATTTCTCAATTTTTGTAATAAATACGAAAGATGAATCGCAAAATTCCTCGATATCCTTAAAAATTTCATTTTATTGAAAATTTATTAATTGCTATGCTTTTCAAGTATCGTTAGAATCTCTTACCTTAAATTTAATCTATAGAAAAATATTCTTAATCATACGAACAGAAATTTGAAGAATTTCTATAGAAATAGTTGTAAAAACATTATCAATGAATTGATGATGATCAATTTGGAGAGAGAGAAAGGAAGAAAATATAATCGTTTGCATTATAAGAAGATGAAAGGATCTACGGATCTATGAATCTATATAGATGTAACGATCGGGAGAGTGACGTTGGCCTTGATCCTTGGTGCGTTGCAGATCGGATCTTTCACCGCGATCACGTACTATCCTATCGGCGACCAATCAAACGGGACATTAACCACAGTGCACTCGGGGTAGAATCTTACACTGTTTTGCATACGATTTTTGCATGTGTCCTTCTTTTCTATGTGTAATTTACTTTCTTTTTTGTTTTTCATTTTTTACGATTTACATCTTCCGTAAAGACTAAAACATTTTTCGATATTTTTCTTCTTAAATTATTTGATAGAAAAAGAAAATAAGAAAAGAAAATAACTTATGTATACCTACTATCATATAAATCGAAGATAATAATTTTTACGAATTGTTTAAAACAATTACAAATGAATATATGGGTGAGTTTAAATTGTTTGAAAAAGAAAATAACGAATGTATTCCATCTTTCATAACATAGACAATAATTTTCATAACTTGTGGCTTTCATTGAATATGTGGGTGTACGTGTTACGTCTACGTACGTTTTAAATCTAATAAAAAAAAAAAAAAAACAAATGGACTGATTTGTTAAAAAGGATATAAAAATATTTATTTCAAAGTATTCAATCTAAAAAAAAGAATCATAAAAGGTTCTTGAAATTTACTATTCATTGATACAATGTGTGTAATGTAAGCTAAATTTGCATACGCAACATGTTCATCGTGCATACGTCGAACGGTCTGATTAAAATAAATAGTAGTAATGTACGTGTATTAAATGATCAATGATTGATGTAATATTAGAACAGAAGTTATATTTGATTTTAATAGCTAGGAATATATTGTCTCCTTTAAAGAGAATGGAAGGAAGAGAGAGAGAGAGAGAGTAAATAAAATGAAGAGATACGAGTATGAGAATTGGTAACACACACAAACATAAATATTATATGGATACATTGTACATAAATCTATAATACACGTAAAGGTTGTAATGAAATTTCATGAGAGTTGTTGTCTTCTCTCTCTCTTTCTCTTTTATACTCTTTCTCTGTTCTAAGTTTATTCGAGTGTGCACGCGTTTGAAGATATACGTACCTCGAGATGACAGGATCGGAAGGTAAGATCGTAGAACGAGCTTAGAAAAGATGAGCGGAGCACCGATCGTGTGTGGTTAATTTACAGCTAGTTCCTATAACTCACATCATCTAACCATCTCTCTGTCTCTCTCTTTCTTTCTCTTTCTATCTATTTCTTTCTTTTTCCCTCCGTGTATGTATCCTTCGGGCATTTTATTTTCTATTTCATTGATATATCGTGTCTACGTATTTATTCATTTACGTAGGTAGTTAGGTATTTCGTTGGATAATAAATAATTACAAAAATTTTACTAATTAACATTTAAACAACGTCAAATAATGTAAATTGCATTGAACGATCGTATTTTTAATTTAAAAAAAGAAAAAACGAAATCTTTTTTCGGACTATTTTATAACTAATTTAAAATAATTACTGTTAATTTTTTTTTAATTGGAAAATATTTTAAGTATTTTAAATTTTAAACGAATAAAATGATTTTATTATTTATTTAAAAAATTGTTTAATATTTTATATTCAAATAATGAAGGCTAGTACTTTTTCTTTTTTTGGTAATTATAACTTTTAAATTAAAAATTCTTGGATTTCGCATTGGTCGATATAAAAGTATAAATTTGCAAAATAAGAAAAAAGGAAAACTATATCAATTCGTGCGTATCCACATATGTGGTATAAAAAAGAGATAAATTCAAAAAGGGGAAAAACTAAATTGTGCTAAAAGTTAATAAAAAGATAATTACCTCGGTGGTAATCGTAACATCTTATAGAAAAGAAATTGTCTAACCGCTAAAAACAGAAGAAAATATAATAAATTAAAACAAAACTTTGACATCGTTCTGTTAATAACGGAAATAATTAAAGCGATCGAGTTACGTGATGTTCGCCTTTAAACGTCGCCTCTTATTCTCTCATGCTTCTTATTGAGCTTTTAGCCAGTAAATTTAACGGCTAAAATGGGGTATAGGAATTTAAGAATCTTCTTCCGGATGATAAATAGAAGAAGATTATGATAAGATGAAGATGATTATTATGAAGAAGGATGGAAGATAAAAATAGAAAATTAGTTTAGTTAGGTTTGCAC